GAATTGCCCCAGCTGGTGTTGGGGGTCCCATCAGGATTCTCTTGGTGAAGATGCTGGGCCTCTTCATTAGCCCTATTTTTAACCAACTGTCTCTAATTTGCAGTTAATGGGATATTTAGGATATATAGATGAATAACTCCATCTATAGCATATTGCCTCAAAGGAAATTGCCTTGCTCCAGATATGGGTGCTCCCTGGCCAAATTGGTTGCCCTGACTGGTCTTTGAGGGGGATACCCATCCCTCGTCATACAGGGGTGGAGCCATTGGCTCTGTGGTCTTAACTTCAGGGGCAGCTTGTGAAGGGGATGGTGGTGAGAAAGCTCCTCCTACTACTCACCCTGTGTCCCCTGGGTGCAAAATATTGATGAGGTTTATCTCCTCATTCTCCCTTTCTTCCTATGTCTTACTATTGGGAAGAGGTTTGGGGATCTCCTTTCTTTTCTGTACCATCAAGTGATTCTCTGTTCCTGGAAAAACCCTGTTATGCAACATAAATGCATTGACATAATGGATTTCATCCCATCTAACTGTTGGTGATACTGTTTCAATTGCATGATGGCACAATAACTTAGGGAGCTATGCATGGGCCACCTTTCATTACAATGTTTCAAAACACGCATAGGCCACACAGTATTATAATAATTAATTAATATCTCCTTGAACATTGGATAATAGCAGTACATACTCAATCTCCCAATATCCTACCCAGTGAGCTCCCTCTAGGAGATAGCACTGAACTGTCCTTATTGGCCTGGGTGTACAGGCCAAAAGCTATAACCAGAAAAATCCAAGAAATCTGAGAACATATAAATGAAACTGGTATCCATGACCCCATTATTCCAAAGAGTACCAAAGAGTATTCTTGCAGCCTGTCAGAGCCAGGCAGGTTCACTTGGGATTCAGGCAGATGAAGAAAATGCATAGAACTGTAGGAAAGCCAGACATGCTTTTATTCAAGGGTGGGGTGATCCGTGCTTGCTGCAAGCCGAGTGTCACACAGCAAGAAGACCCAAGTCCCTTACATACTAAATGTACACAAAGCTGGCAGGGTGCCAAAACACTGCATAACACAGCACAATTCTCTGCATGTGGGCCCACTCAAGGTTATGGGAACATAGTTTATTGGACCCCATCCCAAAACTATGGGAACACTGCTTATTTTAGTTACCCAGACATCTGGGTAAGGGAGTCAGACTGACTCCCATTTACCCTGCAAGTACTCACAAGCAAACCTGCCAACCAATTTCACAAACTGTGGCTCTCACACAACGGCTTTCTCAAAGCAGTACTCACCTGGACCTCATTTCAAGGCCTTTTCCCAGACACATTTCCTTTTCATCAGCCAGGTGTGTTTAGGGGGCACACACCTCAAGTGGGTGTGCAGAGAAACTGCCAGAGTCTGGGAAACCCACAGTTCCACTCTTGGGGCAACCAGCCACAGATAGTATCCCACCAGAGTCTCCAATGCTGTTACTGAACAGCAGTTGGGGTCCTGCTGCCCACCACCACTCTCTAAGCAAAATTCCAGAGTATAGGGTAAACAGAGGCAGTCTGGCTTCCTCACCCAGGTGTCTGGGCAACTGAGGGAAGCAGTTTCCCATGACCTTGAAAATGGGCCTGATAGGTAGTGTTCTTATAGCCATGAGACTGGGTCTAATGAAGTGTTCCCATAGCCTTGAGTGGGCTCACATGTGTCGTATGAAGCTCTGTTGCATAATTCTGTTGGCACTCTGCTGGCTTTGTCTATAGTCTAGTATTTAAGGGGACAGGGGCTCCCTGCTGGGTGCCATACTGGGTGATGAGAGACATGCAGTGTGCCACGCTGGGGGGCACGTGACATGCAGAGACATGTAGAGACACGCAGGGGGACACGCAGCTTGCAGCACAAGTGAATCGTCCACACTTGAATAAAGGCATGTCAGACATTCCAATGACTCTGTGAATATTCCTCCATCTACCTGAATCTCATGAACCTGTCAGGACTTGAATGGTCACAAGACACAGAGGCAAAGGTTTGGTGATAGAAGGAGTGTTTATTCAAAAGCTTCACAATTTTGGAATTAACAGCTTTTCACATTAATTAATCACTTAGGCCTATCAATTAAAACTAAACTCTTTAACTCTTTAGGTTCAGCTTTAATCACTTAAGCCTATCAATTAAGGTTAAACTCTTTAACACCCGAGTTCTCCTATCATTCCCTCCCCCAATTCATTTTATTTATCTTATTTATACAGTGTTAGTTTACAAACTAAAACATAAGATACAAAAGCTACACAATTTTGGAAGAACAGTAGTCTTCTACCTTACAGCCTATTCCCTCTAGAACACTCAAAGAATAAACCTACCACCCTCTGCCAGGCCAGCCCAATCCTGGGCTTTGCCCAGAGTTCCTTCCTATCCAAAATACTGTCCATTGGAAAATGCAGGAAGCTGCAACATGACCATCCAGGCATCCTTGAGGAAGAAGAAATCCAGCAAGTGTGCCCAAGAAGCCAAGCTAGTCTGAGAACCTCTAAGCCAGACAGCTGGACCTCTTTTATTTCAGATCTTCTAGCCCATAATTCCATGCACTCTGGAGACATTCAGCTTCTCAGTCAATACCATCATAGACTGTTTACCATTGCCTCCTGCTATGGCTCCTCCCTACTCCTCCCCAGTAATCTGATCAGATCTCTGAATCACCACCAACCAGATCTAGTTATATAAATATGAGTTATATAATTACACTAAGAATAAATTTTATGTGTTAGTAACCTAACTTTCTCTCTTATATCATTTTAATATTGGGGTATTTATGTTTCCATAAATCAGGCTTTTAAAAAAATAATACCAATTTAGGAGGAGACTGGGGTGCAGTTTTTATTGGCACTGATACTTACTGTGCCATAGAAAAAGTCCTAAACCTGGAATCTGACTTTATAGTCTGAGCTCTCCCTCATGTTTTTCCCTTGGAAAAATCACTTCACCTCATTCCTCATCTATAGAATAAGGATAATTCCCATCCTACAGTGTTCTTATGAAGATTAAATGACAAAAATATAGTAGTTGTTCTACAAAGACAAAATTGGGTTTAAGGGAGACACAAAAAATTGGGTTTAAAAGGGACCTTGAGCATGGCGAGGAACTGGACTTCTTCAAAGACAGTGAGGAGGTGCTTTCCATAGGGTTTAAGGTAAGCATTTATTAGTCACGGGGCCCAAGAGCTACATATGGTAATGTGGAGTGCAGGACCAATAAAATGGCATGGTCTGATTAAGATAATATAGAGTATATAAAACAAAGTGGAGTCACTTATGTCAACTAAAATATCTGTCAGTCAGCTATGACACTTTGGTTCAAGAGGAAAATTACCTAAGTCAGAGCAAACATATCTGGCAGGAGAAACACTTAGGATATCTGCACACGGCTCAGAATAGCCATGTCTGCAGAATGGGAGCACCCATAGATATGCTCCTGGGGAAGTTCCACAGCTGCCAGAAGTGGTGTCAAGTAGAACAGCCATGTACCACCCATCGGCTGCTGGGCAAATTCCACACTTGGCATCAGGGGTGCCACGACATTTATTGAAAAGACCCAGAAGGGTGGAGTACTCCACTTTCAAGGTATTTGACAGGTTCCAGATCACTGGGTAAGACAGCCAGGCTCCACACACCACAGTACTGCTCCATGCCATGCTGATCTCCCTTGGAATCAGCCACTGTAGGCTCTGCCCTGCTGCCCACCTGGCTCCGGAGAGCCTTCCTTGCAAGATGTTGACAACTCCTTTGCCCACCATGGTGTCTCTCAGACCTGCAGAATGAGACTCTGGGACTCAGGCTCGTTATCCCCCATTGATTGCTCTGTGTGTGTGTGTGTTATTATTTCTCTTAGATTGGTATAGTATGAGTAGAATATTAATGTATATTAATGTTCTACATTGAGTGAACTTGCATTCAATAAAAGCTGAGTAAATAGCACAGTTACTGTGTATGACTCCTTGGTGTTGGGCTGCTTGGCAGGCAGCTAGCAGAGTAGTTGCCTGTCTGATTTATAGGAGAGACTATATCATGAACATTCACCCATGACAGGTAGGCCTCAAATACCTTTCCCCAAATCCTATTTCCAAAGCCCAGACTTCCCCACCTGGGTAAACTGAGCACCCCCCACCCCCCGCCGGCATATTGTGATTTTTGACTTTGCTTCAATTCTCCTAATACTGTAACTTTGGAGAAACCATTCCTTCATCTTTATATCCTTCTTATAGCTGCTCGTTGATAAGTACCTAATGTGTTTGAAATTAGACAAGGTCCTTATTAGAGGGGCTGGACATCAGAATAGTGTCAGGTTAGCAACTGAATAACAGAAACAGATCATTTAAAGCCAACTTAAGCTCTTCCTTATCTCTGAAGGAAAAAGCAGTACTGTTTTTTGTTTGTTTGTTTTTAGTGGTGTTTTTTGGTAGAAGAAAATTAGAATTGGTGAGATCACATGGTATTTGTCTTTCACTACCTGCCTTATTCACTTAGCATAATGCTGTCTAGTTCCATCAAGGGGGAAAGTGGAGGCAACTGTGCTTGAACAATAACAAAAATAAAAATTAAAAATAAAAAAGAATTGGTCTACTAGTGTTCAACCTAAAGCCTGCAAAGATAGAGTTGCAAGTTTGGGCTGGGGACAATAGTCAACCTTATTTTGGTTGTGCTCTGGCTTGAGTTGTTGACTAGAGCCCTAGCTTTGGTCCCAACACAAGTGCCTGTCCCACCCACCCCGGTTTGTGGGGTGCAGTCAGACAATTATCTTTGTCTCCCCAAGCCGCTGTGGCCCGGCTTCTGGTCCTGAGATGAACTGATGTGAAAGTTTTGGACATTTTTTTGTTTGTTTCTAAAAATACAATGAGCAATAAAAAAAGAAAGTACAACAACCCAAACGGAACCAGCTTCCTGCACGCCTACTTCCTTCCTGGGTGGCTCCCTTGGGGACAGCACCACCTCCAGACATTCGTACTCTGTGCAGGAAGAGCCCAGTCTCTGCCTACGTCTGCTTCCTGGTGCCACGAGCTGGGCCCGCTTCCGGGACAGAGCTATGCAGGCGCGTGCTGCCCTTCGGGAAGAAAGAGAAGCGGGCAGTCCGGGACTCGTCCCTTTTTTCCAGAGCTCCGAGAAGGGTGGCGGTTGGAGACACCTAAAGAACTCCTTCCTCCCTTTACCCACGTCCTCTGTCCTCTACCGGGGAAAGGCAAGACCCGGGGGGCGGAACAAAGGCGAAATCTCGCCCAAGGAGCCCCACAGAGGTGTCAGGGACAGAGGGCAGTGGGGTGGAGCTCGGGCGGCTACTCGAGTGCCCCTCTGCGACTGGGAGGTCAGAACTAAGTACCAGCCCCCGGTCTCCTCTCAGGGAAAGGGGTGGTCCTGGAGCCTGCTGCAAAGGTGGGGACTTGTTTTGGCCTGGAGGGACCTAAGTGGGTGGGTGCTGGCAGAGAGCTCTGTCAGAGCTGAGTTCTAGCAGCTGGGTGGACATCAGCGGGGCTCCCGGACTAGGGGTATGTGGTGGAGTGGCGTGCGGGTGAGTCACCGGGGCCGCGTGTATTTGGTCCAGAAAACCTGATCCTCCAGGAGGATGCTGGGTTCCGCTGCTAGCCCTACGATATGGCCTCTTAATGAGAAGGCAACAGTGAACCAGAACCTTGAAGGGCCTTAGTACAGAAGTCTCCAGCCTCCGCCATGCTCGTGGCTTTTTCACCAGGTCCTAGCAGGCTGGCTTTGTTTGGGGGGGGGGGGCGGGCAATTGAATAAAACTAAAGGTTAAAAGTAAGACTCCTGTGCAAATTAATGCATAACACTCTTCTGTTTTTCTTTACTTGCAGTAGTCTCCTTTGGTTGTCCATCACAACGTGGAAAATAAACCAGTCAGATTTCTTTGCTCTGGGAAATAGTAACCCCAACGAATACACCTGCTTGCAGGGACAGAGGTAAACTACAACACATTTCCCTACATAAAAACAAAACCAAACAACAAGAAACCCACCCAATTTCTTTAGGCCAAGAACCTTTCAAAATTGAACTCTGTGTAAAATGTATGTGTTCCCATGTTTAGACTGTACCCTCATGGGTGACCTTTGTTCTGTCAAATTTTGTCAAAACTCAAAAAAATACATTCCAGACTTGGGTATTCTTTATGAAGCAATTACCTGAAATGTATTATAACCCAAAATTTATATTGCAAAGGAAAAGAGAGGCTTCAGCATAATTTCCTTTTTTATGTTGTTATTTTCCTTCTATTGTTTTCTGACTATGTAATAGCTATTCTAAAAGGAGAATTTTATTTACATAACCACTTCCTTTGGTAGAATTTGATGGAGCTGTCTTGTACAATGAGAAGGTACATTTATTTAGGCTTTCTTATTTTTCCCCCAAAATACCTTCTTTTTTTGCACCAGGTGATGTCCTAAACCTCCCTACTAAGTCCTTCCACACCACCAAGTCATTCTCTTCATTTTCTACATTTATGATAAGTTGGGTACCTTGCCTCATTTCTGCTACAGCTTTTGTTCAGATATGCTGATTCCCATGAAATTGCTTTGTAGCTGTTACCCTTTGTAATACTTAGCTTTGCTCTCCCTTGAAATTATAGGTCAAGAGTCCAGCTCTCCTTTCGGACCTTGGTTAATACACCTTGCTCTAACATAACTCTTTAAATGTATTTACAGTTTTCACAGTATTTGTGCACATATGTAATTAAACCACATATGTTTAGATAGTTTAGCAGTTTACAAGATTGTCACACATTACTTAAACTTTACAAGAATATTATAAAGATACTATAAAAATCCTTACTCTATGAAGGTTAAAACTAGTGCTTGAATCTAGGTCCACAGAAGCAAATTCAATGTTCTTTTAATTTACTGGAGAGCCTGTTAAACATCTAAATTGTAAAAATTATATAATTTTAAAAGGGATTTAGACAGCACATAATCAAACTTCTCCATTTTGTTAATTAGGGTACTACATTTTTGACCCACTTCCTGGATAGTGCTAAGATCTAACAATTGAAAAACTAAGATCCTGTGCCTAACTTGCTGTGTACAACTGAGAAATCTCTACTGGGGAGGAAGGTGTCAGTTTTTTTCACTTATAATAGGTGCTTAACTAGATGGTCTCTTAAGATGTTTTTAAGCCCAGTACTTCTATTTTATTTCTTCCCTATAACTATTATTGTCATGTTTCCTGTATATATTGGTAATACATAGACACATACTAATATTAGCTGCCTTAAACTTTTATATTTTAAACTTGGTTAGGTATGGTAAAGTATGACTTGTTGGTTTTTTATTAGGCTCTATAAAAGTATGGTTCTGTTGTAAGGTCAGGAACTACATGGAATGGTGGAGCACTCTCATATATCATCAGTTGTAGGTCATAAAGTGGTGTACCCTTTCTAGAGGGAATCATGGCTATCTTTTCAAGAGCCTTAAAAATGTTCATACTCTTTAACTCTGCCCCCTCTGCATTGAAAAACTTAAAGGTTGTAAATAATCATAGCTGTGGACCAAGACTTTTCTACAAGATGTGCATTTAAGTGTTATGATACAAAGAAAAATGACCAGTAAGAAAGAGCATATTCATAAGGTACATGAGCATATTTTAGAAGGGTATATGATGACAGGAGAAATGCATGTGATAAAATAAATGAAAAAAGTGGATACAAAATTGTGTAATGTTACCAGTTTTGTTAAAACGTGTGTGCAAATACAAGATTGGAAGAACTATGCCAAAATAATATTGGAAGAAACATACCAAAATAATAATATTGGTTATTCCTTCCTGATTGAATTCTAAGTGACTTTTTCCTTTATTTTCAGAATTTTGTAGCATCACAAATCACTTTCATAATTTAAGTAAAATATAAAAACTAATTGCATGGATAGCCTCTCTAATTTTAGCATAGTGTCAACTTTCTATGTCCTTTTTATAAGGTGTTTAACCTTTTAGAGTAACTTTCTTTATAGATGTGCTGTATTTCTGTATTTAGGGCAAGAATTGACTTGGCTTATATTTAATCTTTATAGATATCATTAGAATGTTGTATTATCCATTTTTGTTATTCAGGAAAGACACTGCCATTGCCATTGTGTTGGCCTGGGACTCCAGGGACTAGAATGGTGCTAGAAGAATGGAGTGCTCTGCCCACCTTTTGCTACAGTTAACCAAATACAAGTGTTCTTTGATATACAGAATCATTACATTCCAGTCAAGCCTTCTATAAAGAAAATTCCCTTAATGTGAACTCTTTTTAATTAATTTCTATTATAGATGTAGATACATACATTTCTAAGGAAAAGTAGAATTAAAATTTTCGCTGATAGTTTAAATTATTGTCTTTCTGTGGCATAAGCACCAAGAGTATATCCTACTTGGCAGTAGCTTGGCTTCCTGTTTAAAACTCACAGAGGAGCTTTTCCTTTTTCACCCTGCATATTTGCAGCATTGAATATGAGCAAGAAGTGCCAACATAGTATATATATTATAATATACATATATTATATATATAACATATTATATATAACCTATTATAACCTATTATATATATATATATTCAACCTAAAAATTGCTTGAAGTTCAGCACCATTAGCTTTCAATTTGATATATTCTGTAGAATAAGATGTGTATATCATTCTACACTGAACAAACAGAACATTGTTCATACCATTCATCTCAGAAGTGAGTGATTAGTTGGTAGGTGGTACATATCAGTTATGTACTAAATACCTGTTTTCACTTGGGACAGTATTACATACTATGTAAACAGTTTTATCTAGATAAATCTAGCTAGTTAACTTACTAGCAGGTCTTTCTGAAACCTAGAATTAACCTCAAATGCATAGTTAGATGATAGAAACTTTTAATAGGTACCAACCTGTTGGGATAATAATGTAGGTAAATGATTGCCAAGTTTATGGTTGTAAAGAAGACAATTTGTTTTAGGGATAAGAATTTGTCACCTTCATTTAAACCTGTTTTTCTGGGAAAAAAGAAACTAGACATTCCTGATTTGTGCAGCCTTTGCAGAGGTCAGTAATTCCAACTTAAATTAACTTGATTTGAACTCTTAACAGATAAAGATAAATATCTGGGTCTGGTTGCTACCAAACTAGGAGCATAAATTAGGCTGTATGTATGTTTTCCTTCAATTCAGACACTTGGTTTATTCAAATTGATTTCATCTCAGTGGAAGAAAATGGGATTCAACATCATTTGGAGTCCACATCGATTTTTCAGTAATTGTACATAAATGGGATACAGATATCTGATCTAGGAGGTTTCTTAAAACCCTATGATTTAATGCTGCAGACTTACAGGATCATAGAGTAATATCTTGAGTGATTATCAAGTGACGCAGGGAAAAGTAAAAAGGAAAAAAAAAGATGAAGAGGATGAGGGATAAAAGAAGAGGAAATAAGATCATATTTATTGAAACAATATGGGGAAGATGAGTTAGAAGAATAAAGGAAGGAGTCAAGGCAAAATAGTGGTACGAAGAAGAGAATGAAGGAAAGGAAAAAGAAAACAATTTTTCTGAGTGGTCTGTACTGTTTAGATAATCACCTGGTTTTTGTTTTTGAGAATGTCACCTTAGTCCAAAAACTGAACTTTCTCTGAGTAGGTGGGCATCCCAAGCTGGTTGACCTTCTATACTGGTTTCATTTTGCCTTAAACTACCAGGAATCTGAGTAGAAATATCTTGAGCAGAATTTTAACTACTACTGTCTTATATGGACACATAGGTAACTTTCGTATTGTGTTTGCAAGAGCCACATAATAATTAGATAGCTATTGTAGACACAGGATGTGATATATTAGTTTTAATACTCATTTTTGAAATATTGGAAATCTTAATCTTTGTCCTGTTTTGATCAAATAAGTTATGGAACAGTCTAAAAGCCAGAATGAAGTTTAATAACATTGATATAAGGTACTTAAAACAAAAACTTTGTAAATAATTTTCACATATTATTAGATATCTTTCAAAAGAGTTGTATAGTGAGGACAGAAACTGTAATATATGTAAATGTTTTGTCAAAGGTTACAGACTGAGAGCCAGACAAGTATGTTAGTCTCCTCACAGGCCTGAATCAAGAGATTTCCAGTAATACATTTTTTAATGTATAAAAGATAAAATAATACTGTAACAGATTAAGCTCTTTGTAGAGCTTGTCATATTTAATGTTTGTGCAGTTTTACTTTCTTAGGTCACTATAGTTTTCTTCTAATTGCCCTTTTCAGTTTTTTTTTTTTGGCCAACTTTTTGTTGTAAAAAATTTCAAATATATGGAAAATTTTTTAAGTACTATAATAAATATCCTTACTTACTTATTCAGTAGTTTTTTACTGGACTCTTATTAAGTTTAAAGAAAGAGTTATTAGTGGGTCTCATACTAAAATAGAATACAGTATATTACTTGAAAATAAAATTAAATTAGTGTGTTTATAGGAAGTGACTAAAAAGAAAGGATGATCTCTTGTATTGTAAACATTCTTCCAAGAGAGGATTGTTGACTCTCATTTCAGTAGAGCAGGAGTGTCAAACTCATTTTCACCGGAAGCCACATCAGCCTGCAGTTGCCTTCAAAGGGCCTAATGTAACTTTAGGACTGTATAAATATAACCACTCCATAACTAGGGGCAAGGAGCTCGGCCCTGCCACTGGATAGAAACAAGGTGCTAGATAAAACCAGGTGGAGGGCCCCATTTGGCCTGTGGGCCTTGTGTTTGCCACCTGTGCAGCAGAGCTTCACATAATTTAGTTTTGTCTGTGAAATGAATTTCAATGTTTGTTATCCAGTTAGTTAGGTATTTGGATATTTTTGTGAAATTCCTGAATTCATAGATGCCTCAAAACAGGATAGGAATTTGGTTTAAAATCCTAAGACATAACGTATAATATATTGGCTTTTATTTTTGTTCTCTAAGA